CATAATGGCCTTTGGAAATCTTGATAAACAAATAAAGGAATGCTCTTAGAAGCTGGCCAAACTTCAAGCTTGAGATGGGATTTTGCAAAAGGAGAAAGAGATTGACATAGTGAAAATCCAGCTTGACAGACTCTTAGCCTTTCAAGAAGATTATTGGAAGCAACGAGCAAAGATAAGGTGGAATTTTGAAGGAGACAAGAACATAAAGTTTTTATATTCTTGGGCACAAAAATGAAAAAACAGAAAGTGGTTAAAAGGCTTAAAAGATGAAGCAAAAAATTGGACTCATACTCAAGAAGGCATGCAAGAGCTCCTGCTCAAACATTTCAAAGGAGTATTTGTGGAGGATAATTTTCAGCCAGATGAAGATAATATGGGGTTCTGGAATCAAAATCATGGATCTTATCACTAAGCAAATTACTCAAGAGCAACAATCGAGCCTAGGGATGGCATATATAGAGCAAGAAGTTCATATGGCAATCTTTAATATGTCTCCATGGAATTCACCAGGTCCAGATGGTTTTCCAGCAGGTTTTTTCCAAAAATATTGGAGCTTAATCAAAAGCAAGTTGGTTCCCTGTATCTTAGCAGTAGTAAATACTCAGCAGTGCTGGGATTCTTGGAATAACAGGAAGGTGATCTTTATCCCAAGAAAACGAAATCTAGTTGCACCGTCCGATTTTCGCCCCATCAGCTTGTGTAATGTTCTTTACAAGATTGTGGCAAAAGTCTTGGCGAATAAAATGAAACGGCTTTTGGGCACAATTATTGAAAAAAAATCAGAATGGTTTGTTCCTTGTCGGTATATCGAAGACATATTGCTAGCACATGAGTTGATCGAGCACATGAGGAGAAAGAAAGACGGAAATCTGGGTTTAGCGGCATTGAAATTGGACATGAGTAAAGCGTATGATAGAGTTTCTTGGGAATTTTTGTAACAGGTACTCGAGAAAATGGATTTTCCCCTACAGACAATTCAGGTAATCATGAAGCGTGTGACGACAGTTTCATATACCATAAGTTTTAACGTTGGCAGTCGTACCCGTTTGCACCAAAGAGGGGTCTACGCCAAGGGTGCCCACTTTAACCATACCTCTTTATAATATGTCAACAAGCATTTTTCGTCGCCATTAATAATTTGGACAGTAGAAGCAAAGGATTTGGCATCAAGATAGCAAGATCAGTGCCAAGGGTTTCTCACCTTATATACGCTAATGATTGCTTGATCTTTATGGAGTGCAAGGATAAAAATGTAAGAAATTTCGCAGAAAATCCTGAATCAATATGCAAGACTGTCTGGGCAGAGTGTGAATTTTGACAAATCCTTGATTATGGCAAGTCCTAATATGAGGAAAATTGATCATACATGGTTGATGTTAAGGCTGAGAATTCTGAATATTGGATATAAAGGACAATACTTAGGCCTTAGCTTGGATTTTACGCAAAGAAAGAACCTGCTATTTGGGAGCATAGTAGAGAGAATGAAGAAGAAGCTACACTCTTGGAGAAACAACTCACTATCAATATTGGGTCGTGTAACTTTAGCCAAACATTCGTTGGCTTCTTACCAATCTACATGATGGGTGTATTTAAACTCCCAATATAGGTCACAAAGCAGATTGATTCACTGGTTGCTAGTTTTATTTGGAAAGGTGACAAATAGGGACGAGGCATTCATTGGAAATCCTGGTCTGACATATGCAAATCGAAGTTTCGCGGGGGGATTGGGCTTGAGATCTGCAAAAGATTTAAATCAGGCATTTTTAGCTAAGTTGGCTTGAAGAATTATTGAGAATCCTAACTCTCTATTTGCTAAAGTCCTTTCAGCAAAATACTTGAAATCAAAAGGTTTGGTTGACAATGGGGAAGTGCAATCTGCTTCCTGGGGATGGAGAAGTGTACTTTGGGGCAAGGCTTTATTAGAAAAAGGGCTCAAATGGAGAGTAATGAATGGGAAATATATTCAAGTCCAGGAAGATTAGATTCCCAATTCAGCAAATCCACTTACAATAAACCAAGCACCTGATGGTTTGCTAAGTTTCAAGGTAAGAGATTTGATGGATGAGAGCTTCAAATGGAGACTTCCTTTTTTGACTACTATGTTTCATCAGATAGTCAGAAATATCTTGACTTTATACATCCCTATGAATCCTGAAATTAAAAAAGATAAGAAGGTCTGTATACATTCAAAGTCAGGGCAGTATACTGTCAAGTCCGGATATTATCAGGTGGTCAACAACCGTCAAGCAGAGCTTCCACATCAACATCAAGGAATACTTTCTTATCAGAGGGGGCTTGGAAACATTTTTGGAAAGTCAAGGTCCCTGGAAAAATCCAATGGATGATTTGGAGAGCGGTTAATAATGCATTACCCACTCTCACAGCTTAGAAAAGAAGAGGTATAGAACTTTCTACGACTTGCAATCGTTATGGAAAGATGGATGGAAATGTACATCTTTTTTTAGACTGTGAATTATCAAAGTGGGTGTGGGAATCATCATCATTAGGGCTCGATTTTGATCAAGGAATAGGGAGCAACTTTTTGGATTGGTTGAATGGTTGGCTATTATCGGCACCGAATCAACAAGTGCTTCAATAATCCTTTTTTATTCTTTGGTCAATTTGGATTTCAAGGAATGAGAGTCTTTGGGAGAAAAGACTAGCTTCTTTTGAAATTCAGGATAGAGCATGGCAAGAGCTTAAAATTTTCAACTTGGCGCAAGGTTATTTCAACATCACCCTGTATTAGGAGAGATTAGGGCCCAACAACCAGTGCAGTCAACAACTTTAGTTCAAGTGGATTACTTCATTCGTATTGATGGAGCCTTTTATGAGGAAGACAAAAAGGCGGCTGTAGCATGGGAGATTGTCTCACAAAAAGGTACGTGTTTATCATATGGGTATAAAAAGTTCTTGACAGATTCTGCACTCCAAGTTGAAAGTTTAGCTTGTTTATTTGGACTACAAGCTGCTATCAGTATGGGAATTTCAAGGTGTATCTTGCAGACAGACAACAGTTCAGTTGCTAGTTTGGATTCTATGCATAATAGCTCTCAATTCGCTTTAGATGTTTTAGGTAAAGATATTTTAGAACTTAAAAGATATTTTATGTATTGTAAGTTTGAAAAAGTAGATAGGTTTATTGTGGAGAACGTGCATAGGCTAGCAAAATTTGTACTCGGTTCTGATGTCTTGTAATTTTTACTGTACTCAGTGTTGAATATATTAAGTGGTTATTTCAAAAAAAAGTTTATGTACTTGGTTCATGGGTATCAATGCTAGGAATGAAAGTTTTAAATTTGAAACCCATGTTCAGCTGATTGATTCAAAAGATGGAAATCTACCAGGCCCACTAAATTGGGTTTCAAAGTCATTGCCCCATTCCCTACTATGTTGGTGGGTATAACTTACCCAGTTTTTTCCCTTCATTGCCCTCAGTTTCTCCTCTCTCTTCGGTCCTCCTTCATCGTCTTTAGTTTACATCGTCTTCTTCTATTTCATTTTTTTTTCTTTTTTTCCTCCACTCTACACATTCATCAACAACCGTTGACTTCTTGGGTTCAGTCTCTGTCTCATCTCTACAACTTTATCGTCGCCTCACTGCTGTCAGTCCATATCAATTTGTACAGCTCCCGCCGCCGATTTTGATTTGCTTTTATGTGAAATGTTATTTTGTTATCTTGTTTAATTGAAGGAAAAAAGGAGTAAAAAAACGATTTATAATTTGTTTGTGTTGTGGTAAAAAAAAAAATCAAGAATAGTAGTCTCTTGTTCTTGTTGAATTGGCGGCGGCAAGAAAAACCAATTGAAATTGGTGGTGAGTGGCTAGAAAAAAAAAAAAGAAAATGATAGGGTTCAATAGGGTGGGACACATTTGAAATTTTAGATCCATTCCAACTCCATCAAAATTTTGAACCAAGAAGTTGAATTAGAGTTGCTTTGACTTCTTTTTTCTATGAATCCCAGTTCCATCAGATATGAATCCCATTTCCTATGGTTGAACCAGGCACCTTCTTAATCTAAATGACAATATACAACTTTTTGTTTCAAAATTTGGTTATTTGCGAGGGCGTCATACTTGAACAATTGGGGTTCACAAGGGCGAAACAAAAAACAAATAGCGGTATGAAAGGGTTGAAATATTTGGGCTGAACTTGAAGGAACTGGAAATCTGGCCCAATTGATTCCTTGAGTTCGTTCTCAGCCCATTAGGACCTTTTGGTAGCATAAAAGAAGTCTCGAAAATTGAAGGGAACGCACGATCTTCATTCAATCACGAATCTCGAATATTAATCCGTGCATTTTTCTTCCTTGTAATGTAGTAGAAGGAATACAAAATCATTACTTCTTCTTCCATTCTATAATTTTTATTTCTTTTTAATTAAAAAATGGTATATACATGTTATTAAGTTATAATCCTAATAACATGTATTAGAATAAGATAGATGGTTAGTAAAACACACTGCCATCTCCATGTATACTTTTAATTTTATTAATAAATCGGTTTCATCCAAAAAAAAAAAAATTCACTTTATATTTTTCTATTAAAAAAAATAATTATAATCTTACGGGATAAACAACTCTTACAACATCTAGTTCAACAACCAAAAAACTCTTGGAGGTAGCGAATCCAATCGTAATAGACCTTTTGGATCTGTCACTGTCAGATTTTCCATGTAATCAGCAACAAAATTGCATTCACTATAAGGATGTTTGAGAATAACTAGTCAATTCATATCAAACATTTCTCTAATTGCTCCCAGCAAGATTTCATGTTCCATTCTATAATTTTTTTTCAATCAAGAAAGACTTGTTTTATTCATATTGTGTTTTCCATAGGATACAAGCATTTATCTATATGTATGTAGCCGAAAAGTACTACTGTTACAAGGTCATACTAGCCTCAACGAGCATACGCCATATCTAAATTTCTCATAATCACACCTCTCATGATTGAAGTGCAAGACATACTATTCTAATTACTGATCCCGGGACCAAAACTATACTACTCTAATCATGGTAGCTTGGTTCAACCTTGGCACATTTTCTAAGAGATCAAAGGTAAGCATGGAGGATTTTGGCCTTGTTGTTGTTGTTGTTGTTGTTGACCTCTCAAATTGAACAACTGGGGGCAAGATGAATGTTGATTGTTGTTGCTTTTGGTGAAGATGATGATTATGATGAGTAGGCTTGCCAAGCCACTTTGCTTGCATATATTTGTGCTTCCTCCACGGAGCCATGTGCATCTTTTTGTCCTTCATACATTTCTTGGATGCGCCACACAAAATCTTAATCAGTGATTTCAGTCTTTCTGGTTTCCCCACAAATGCATCTGGTAATTTGTTGATCAATTGATCGTATTCTTCACATGATTTTGCCATCTTGAATTCTGACTTGAAATTCAATTCAACAATCACCCTTATCACTTGATCACTTTTTCCAGATGTTTGTGAATTTGATAGCACCTCCAAGTATACATGTTCTCCTACATAAGCAAAAACAAGATTGTAACATATAATTAGATAAACTGAAGACACTTAAACATGATGGTTTCTGAAATCTATCCATTGCCAAATAAAAAATTCTGATTATTTGAAAATTATACATAAAGATCGTATAGACGAATCCTATTAAAAAAAAAAAAACTATACTTTACTTGCATTAAAATATGTGAAACTTATTGACCCTTTTCAATGAAGTATAAAAATTAATGGTTATTATATTATTCGTGTACGAGATTATTAAATTAATTATCCAACAAATAAGATCGAGGCAAAAGAAGTGAAATTGAGTCAAGTAACAACAGCTGAGTTCCACCTACCAGCTGGAATTTCTGGCGTGCTCCTCCACTTGGACTTGCAAATTGTGCAGTTGAATCCAGCTTTTTGAAGCCGATCACAGACTTGTTTCCGGGCACATTCCCGGCAACCGTCGGTGGCGGCCACGGTTTCCCGCCGGCAAAGACAACAATCGGTAACGGGTAAATTATTCATCTCCGATAAAGCTTCTTTTGTAGCTTTTCTGATTTTGGATTCCACAGAAGTCGTCCTCCTCAAAGTTGCCTGTAATCCCAATTCCGAATTGAAATGAATAAATACTAAAATGAAAAATGATCATCTCATAAAATCAGAACCAGGATTTAGCAACATAAATCGTACCAAAAGAAGCTCTTCTTGAGAATCCCAGAAAGCCTTATCAGATTCAGCTTTGGAACCATTCCCCTGTTCCTCATCCTCCTCTGTTTCCTCCTCTGTTTTTCCATCACTACCAAAACTTTCTCCGCCACAAAAATCATTCATGCTGGAATCCCACGACGAAATCCCTTCAATCTTTTCATCAAAGAAATCGAAAATCAAATCGCCTGCATTCTGGGATTCGTAACCAAACATTAATTTCTCCGAAAGTCGACTGATTTCTTCAGCTTTCTTTCCGCTGCTTCCAGCCATTAATTGCCACCACCAAAAAAAAAAAAAAAGATAAAATGTGATGCTACGAAACGGCGCTGCTAGAAAGAAGAAGATACAAGTGCTCTCTGAATCATGGAGACCGGAGAGTGATTCATATTTATAGTGTGGGAAAGATTAAAACACAGTATTGGGACCCAATCTGACTCAGGTGTGACTTTGCTATATACTAGCCGCCGCGTTCATGATTATCTGTAAAAAAATAATAATAACGTTAACGTTAATTAGAAATTTGGTAAACATGTTACTAGGAATTATTGAAGTTCATGAAGGAAAAGAAACGGACATTCTTGGTAGATCTAACCCAGTTCATGTCACCAGTTACGAGGATCCAGATTTTGATTCCGAGGCTTTAACAAAGAATATTATGTGTAAATAAATAATATTCCACTCGAATATTCAGTTCCACTAATCATTTCAAACTGTGGTGTTTCAGTAAAATAACCAAATTTTACCGGCAGTATAAAATTTTACGTTACGTACGTTATGAAAGTGGTGGATGTATATAGACCATTCTAATTGTGCCTCTCCTCTAACGGCTATACAAACTCGGATTAACATTTTCCCTAATGATCGTAGAGACTATAACCAAACCTTTTGGAGTTTGTAAACGTTACTAATTTCCATATTGACTGACTAGAGCTAGTCACGAGACAAGTTTGTCTATACCCGAACGTTAATTGAGTAACGAAAAGTTGTACAACGATTATCAATTTATGGATTATCATTTTTCAAGTTCACGGTCTATATTAAGTTTATATATGTACCTTCACAAGTTCATACATCAATCAACGCTTATTTATTACTCCCTCCGTCCCAAAATTATTGTCCAATTTGAAATTTCACTTTTAGTATAATTTGAACTAGAAATGACCAAACTGGACAATTATTATGGGACGAAGGGAGTATTAGCTTATTGTTTAATAGGGTTTAATAACAAACTCCAACTCGATCTCAAATTCTCAATCGTTTTCTTTTTGTCATATATTGAGTTTAAAGGAAAATGGAGAAGTTTGGATTCTATAACTATTTTGCGTTACTCCCTCTGATCTTAATTATAAGATATTAAAATATACTAAATTTAGTTCAATTTGTATCTTATCATTAAGACCGGAAGGAGTACATGGTACATGAAATTTGGTTCAAAACGGTGTTTTAAAGTGCACGGAAGGAATAATTATTTTGTGTAAATGCATGAACAAAATCCAATTCATCTCGGTTAATTACTGAAAAGTTTCTTGATATCAGTCGAATTTGGGATTAATATGCATGCATTCTCTGAAATGTTAATAGACATTAAAGCAAAAGTTTTATATTCGAAATGTCGAATAAAAATTATCTACTCTTTTCTTTAAAACATTGGAATATCTTACTTACGGGTTGTGTTTTTTACCAGCACAAAAAGCATATACGTAGCTATTAAATCATTTGGGGGTAGGCAGAATCTTATAGACTGTTACAGAATACAAAGGCTAAGAAAATAATTTAATGGGTCACTAGAATCGTAATTAAAATGTTACATATATACGTGAGATATTCCACTACTTTATGCGAATATAAGCAAATAATAGACAGCAGCATTTCTTTGAAAACTCAATTCGTCATCTGGATATTCCACGAAACATAATCAAATCCTTCCTCGTTCGCTGATTTAATTATTCGTTCAAAATCAATCATGAATGACTTAAGCATCTCACTCTTGTGCTTGGCTAATTTCCTTATTATTATTTTTTTCCTTCCTTTTATATAAACAATTATTGATATCAGATGGTGGGGAAGTGACATGAGTAAATTAGCTGCACATGAAAATTAACCAGCCCGATCTAATGTTATACATTTCTTTAATCTGGGCCGCAATTATTTCACGAGTTTTTAGCTGAGTTGGATTAATGCCCGATTTTTTTTCCCCCGTTTAATGCTGGCGGACTTAGTTGTTAGGACATTATTATTGAATGAAGGGTATCAAGTTTGATTTCCGTTCCTTCCCTTTCTTGATTCCCTACCTAGAAAGCTAGAGGTGTAGATTAGGCCAATGATTCCTCAAACTCTTTTGTTTTTTCGTTAGTATTGAGGAGGAAAAGAAAAGTCTAAAAAATTAAATTACAATATTCCCCTCAATATCCTACTCCAACAATAACATATTTTAACCATCATGGAACTCTAAATAGTAGTAGATCATGTGGGTTTACAGAGCCATAAGTAGATCATCTAACTACTGTAAAATCCCAAACAAAGACTCCATGATAGCTTAGGGTTAGACCAATATTGATACCTCAACTCTGAGCCAAATCCATTATTCTCCTTGAAATAAAACTTATAGTATTTATTAAAATCATTTACCATTTTTTGAGAATTGACTTGAGATGCATGGTTTACTAACTGAATTAACTGTGAAAAAGAGAATCATTAAATCTCTCAACTTAGCAATCATGTTAATTTGTTGAATCAATTAAAACAATTCAACAAACAGGAGCCTTGTTATGGGATGGGAGGAGTATTTATGTACATGGTTTTCATTAGGATTTAGTGCAGTACGTAGTAATTAGGATTCCGAACATATTACATTTGAAGCGAGACTGTCATGTGGAATGATAATAATGTATGTGGACGAAGCTTGAAGAACTTGACGAAAGAGCTCAAAAAATTAGGGTTTCCTTTTCCTCCCCCTACCAGGACATTTTTCATGATGTTAATGTACTTCACTAGCTGTCGCTACATCTACAAGGACATAAGAAAATGTCCTCCTCTTGGTTAAGCAAGTTTTAATTTAAAAGCACTACATACCATTCCCTGGGTAAAAAAATGAGAATAAAACTATCATGGTTTAAAGGAAAAAAAAAAAAACATTCTTTGAAATCACCTAAAAGCCTAACAAATTATGAAGAAACCACAGGTTAAAACGGGTAAGACCAAACGAAAAGAAATATGGTGTGCTCCAGTTGAAAAAGACATTGTAGAAAAGTTAAATGTGGGAAAAAAAAAATATATGTTAGCCAAAAGATGTAACTAGCAGCGTTACGAAAAAATGGAAAACGAAAGAATTTTTGGAACGAAAAAGCTAAAGAAAGCTAAAGTTAAAAAGAAGATGGATGGTTAAACCTGCAAGTTTCAAAGGGATAATCAATCAGTATAAAACTGAAAAAGTGCAAAATGTAGGCATAAAATATGAAAAAGTGAATTAAACAACAATTTATAAAGTCCCTACATAGATGATCATTATTAAGTGGAGTTTAAGACCGATAATCTCTGATTAAATATACCATAAAATAGGATAAGATCTACTAGCATTAATATATTCACCTTTCATTAACGTCACACTAGCTTATTTAGTTATCTACTTGCTCCTTGAGAAGAAACTGGAATTTAAAAATGTTACTTACTGTCAAAAGAAACATCAAAAGTCCAATTATTGACGCGATCAAACACATTTTATACATATATTTAAGCAAATCAAAATTGATTCCGAAAAATTTTAAGGGAAAATTACTTCTTTGTTCTTCCGAATGGTTCTATTTGATGGTCATTATTATAATGTTCTATACTTTTCCGTCCTAAAAAAAAGTTTTATTTTGAGACGAGGAGAAATATTATTTGTTTGGTCGAGTTTTAAAGTGCCAAAGGGTTGAGTCCATTTTTAAGTGTTATTTTATAAGGGTTTGGAGTGTTTAAGGTGAACGTTAATCAGAGCATCATGGTAAATTTAATGTGCTCTGACAATACATGCACTTGTGAAAATAGTTCGAAAAGGAACCCTCTCTTTTCTTTTTACCTTTACTTAGTTACATAAAAAAAGATCATAATCTTAAAGTTTCCAAACTCCAAAAGGCACCAAAATTATCAATATTTTATATGTAAATGTTACTTTCTACCAGTTGTTGATTAAGTGGTTCCAAGTTGCGGTCGATCAGAAGGGGATAAAGACAACTGCTTAATTAACTGGTTGATTAAATTAACCAAGATTTCAATTTGCTCCTGTATACATAGTTTGACCGCATCATTTTTGTTTTCCTCTAATAATTTGACTTCTTCTTTTTTTCAGTTATAAACATTTTTTTAACGTCGCTGAGGCATACGATATTTGTAGCTATAAACTTAAAGCTTCGTGTCTATATATAGAGACTTACAATGTAATCTAATTTTTGGGGTTCAATAAAAATATATTCCGGTTGAAAAACAAAATAGACCTACTTGTGTAGCATTGTACATTTATTAAACTTTTGGGAAAATGTAATTTCATAAGAGATATTATTATGATAAAAAAAAAACGAAATAAAAAAATGAAAACCCTGAAAAATTCCAAAATTCCCCACTTCTCTCATTCTCTAATTTCTTCTCAAAACATAAACCAATTTTGATCATTGTGGAAGATGGGATAAGGCTCAAGTGATCTAACAAATCAAAAGCAACCATGGATGCTCTTGCCTTGTGCTTGTGTCGGGCTCGAACCTTCTTAATTGGCCACCATTTGGCGACAAATTTTAATGTCATTTTTCAGGTGATATGAATCGCAATTATTGTTTTCAGGTGTTGATCCCAGCCATTATTTATCCACCATATCTATACTTGTGCTTCCTTTACGGGGGCCATATATACATTTTGCTCATCTGCTCCATGCCTTTCTTCAACGCCACACATAATATCTTCACTGAATTTTAGAGTCTATATACAAAAATCTACCCACAAAAATTTCTGCCAATTTCTCGAATTAATTGTGTTTTCCATCGTTTTAATTGTCCTCTCACTAGTGATTTATCCTTCATCAATTAATCTAACAGTAGTAGTAGCAACAACATGACGAACTAACGTCCATTAATTCCTCATTGAACCCAAATTTATATCATTTCCTCAAAATTTTCCTGCTCTCCAGAGAATTTTCCATTGTGTTAAATGTTAATCTTAGTTCAAATTTCAATTTCAAGATTTTTCACATGCCTTAGTTGCGAAATTATGTTTTCTTTTTCTATTTTTTTTCCCTAAATCAT